CTCTTGCGACAGTGAACAGATAGGGCGAATATCAAAGCGGACATGCTCACCTCAGCGGCGTAGGAAGATGTACGTGTTGACTTGAAAAGGGAGGTAGCAAGCCACTTATGGGCCTTGTTGGACTATCAGGTATGTCAAATCACGTATCCGTACTCGTATGTACCACACACTCACCTAGCACAACCCGATGCTACACGCCGCCCCTCAGTGTGCTCATTCGTTGAACCAGGGGTTTGGTGGTATGTGAGCCACATTGTATCTGTCATATCTCCGGGTGTCCTCAGCATGCTATGCCGTGGTATACTACTTCCTGTCACAGGAGGTGCGCCCTCGTCGCTCGTTTTTGCAGATTTGTCAGACATGGCCATGGGACTCTGGCTGCCGCCTCAGGGATGCGCCAAGGATCGGAAACAGGAACGAGAGCTCTGAAAGATCGATTAGACTATCAAGGTTCAGCAGGCTCTTCCTTTTTGTCCTGACCAGCCCTTCGCAACTGGATTGAAAAGAGATTAAAGGTGAACTTGCAGACAAATGAGTCTATCTTCTAATTAGTTTACAACCTTGACGATTACATAATCACAGGTTGATCCGAAAATGATGCAGTTGTCACTTTGACAAACTACTTTACTTGAATTGAACTCGGTCATGCCCGTGCGGGCCATTGAATTTTATAGTGGTATAGGTGCTTCATGGATATCGATGCGATCGAGCCTTTCTTAAAGTTACTTTTTAGGTGGCCTGCATCTCGCACTTCGCCAAAGTCGTGTGGCGTGTTCCCCTGTAAAAGCGTTCGACTGGGATCAAACTGCATGTCAAGTATATGCATCTAACTATGACGCCAAAATAATCACCAGGGTAGGTCGACCTTTGATTCATCAATTCTGGCATTGACCTGCGTGAGGTCGTGTGTTCCTTTCGTTCCTTTCATAGATAGACATATCGACCCTTTCTGCGGTAGATCTGTTATATTTGCATGCTGACGTCTGGCTCCTATCCCCGTCGTGCCAACCTTATACCATCTTGAACCCTGCTGCTAGAGGAGAAGCAGACCCTAGAGCGAAGTCGTTTCTTCATCTGATCGATCATGTTTTGCCGGATCTCGCTGCCCAGGATTCGCAGCCTCGCTACATACTCATCGAGAATGTAGCGGGCTTCCAGGTCAGTCGACTTCATCCCACCACGCATATTGTCCAATCTTGATGTGTCATTGGAAAGGACTCGATGACAAGGAGACGTTTAGTTGATACCCTCCAACGGCTCGGCTACGTTGTTGCTGAGTTTCTTCTCACTCCTGTACAGTTTGGCATCCCCAATTCGCGACTGAGATACTACCTTCTTGCGAAATTATCCCCCCTCCGGTTCTCTGGCCTTCATGAATCTCACTTCGATCGAATTCATGAGACGATACCAGGAACTATATTAGACATTCCTGTACACTCGCTACGTGAATATTTGGACCCTGTACACGAGGACGGAATTTCTACACGTCATAATATCCCCGACCGAGTACTTTCAAAGTGGGGTCGTTTATTCGACATCGTACTGCCATCTGGTCGGCGGACCTGTTGTTTCACGAGGGGTTTGTTTGCTCTAGCGCTGACTATTTCATTCACAAATTTTACCCTAGGTTATACACAACTTGTCGAGCGTGCAGGCTCCATACTCCAGGTGAATGAGGACCTTGACGTGAGTTTACAGGCGCAATGTTGAAACTTGAATTTTGAACTGAAGTAAGGCAGACCACCGAGGTCTTTGACAGGTTTCTTGAAGCTCGATCACGGGGAGATGAAGATGCCGTTCGCGTCCTAGATCAGCTACACCTTCGGTATTTTACCCCTAGCGAACTCTTGAGGATCTTTCGATTCGAGGAGCCAAAGTCCAATCAACAGTTTTTGTGGCCACCCACCATATCTCTAAAATCACAGTACCGGCTCATTGGAAATAGCGTCAATGTGGAAGTGAGTGAATATTCTTTGATACAAGAAAGTTTTGGCAAATCCCTATATAGGTCGTGCGGCACTTGATCGATTATCTTTTTGATGATGAAGAATTTACAACGTGATTATGGACATCTCTTGCTCTCTTGCTTGATAGCAGCATTGATTTCATGGAGTCATATTGGCCCTACTCTCGGTCTCTCTCGGCCAGAGCCCAGAGCCGCAAAAATATGCTTTGGTTCCGCACCTACATTCGGGCTGGTCTAAGGTTCAGGTTCAAGATATAATTTACTGGCTTAGTGTACCATTTCGAGGTGTCTGGTTGTACGTGGTCAGGCTGTCCAGCCACGTGTTTGCTGGCCGAAGAACAAGGTCAAGTCAATATGCTCCTCGGGCGTCATTTATCATCGTAATGACTAAGTGAGACTACCAATGACACAACTTCACGTTGCAATCTTCAATTTTTTTGGTCTCGTCACGCATGATGTATATATTCTTAGCTATAGTGTGTACAGTAGATGAGCACCTAATATTATTGATACTATTAAATGGTAGTGGTATACTGATTCAAATTAGATTCGGTGTTTGTTGCTCAGGCGCTCAGGCGCCGCTACCAAGGGAGGGATCAGATCTCGGATCATTCAGCAACGCCAGTATTGACGCGGACGTAGTAGGCTACAGAAATCAAGTGCAATACAAGTTTCAAGTGCTTTGTCGAAGAGTGCCGAGGGCCGGTTTCGGCTTCTAAGTTACCGGACTGTCCTATATATATATTAGTTCCGTGATGACCTGTTATGCGAGTAGTAGTAGTCTCGCATCCTTCGTTCACACCCGACGTATCGTGACGGCAGCTTTTTAACATGGCTCAGAACAAGTTCAAGAGGACTTTTATCGTTGGCTGTGGATGCACGGCATTCATAAAGGTCAATAATTCAATCTTGCCAGTCCTTAGCAATCAATTCATTTGATACGCAGCCTAGAGGCCAGAGGACAACGGAGGATGTAAGTAGAATCAGTACAAGAAATGAATGATCTCCGATTCCATTCATGTATAGATGGGACTTGAAGCAGGCACAAAGGCGCTGCTCGATGCTGGTGAGTTACGCATGAAGAGACAATTTGTTCAAAACCATAATTCGAACTTCCCAGGTATCACATATGATGCAGTACAAACTGCATTCGTGGGTCACTGCTACGGTGATTCTACAAGTGGTCAAGTATGGCACTCCTAAATTCAGTTTCACGATGCTAATTGGTGTAGCGGGCTCTCTACGGCCTTGGAATGACCGGGATTCCCATCACCAACGTGAATAATAATTGTTCGACCGGAAGTACCGCACTTTTCCATGCAAACAATGCTGTAAAGTCTGGCCTGGTCGACTGTGCCCTCGCGTTGGGCTTTGAGCGTATGGCAGCAGGCAGTCTCGGAACCAACTTCCCCGACAGGGCACCACCGACTCTTTTATTCACTAAGCGGACCCTAGACCTTGAAAAGACCCTAGCTTCTGGAACAAACTTTGGTCCAGGTGCCCCGCGAATGTTTGGCAACGCAGGGCAAGAATATATGGACAAATTCGGTGCCGAAGTCAGACACTTGGCCATGATAGGTATCGTGCGGCACTCGTATTAAAAATGTGTGTTTTCACGTCTTTTAGCCGCAAAGAATCACGCACACTCCGTCAAGAATCCATATTCACAATTTCGTAACGGATGGACGGTTGAACAAGTCCTACAGGCACCTAAAATCAATGCCCAACTCACGAAGTTCATGTGCAGTCCTACATCGGTAATGGTGCTCCCGCTCTCAAGTATCTAGCGCTCACCACGCATTAGGATGGTGCAGCCTGCTGTATTGTTGCATCAGAAGACTTTGTGCATGCCCATGGATTGGAGAATCAGTCCATTGAAATAGTTGCACAAGGCCTTGAGACGGACGACCCTGCTGCGTATGATACTGAAAGCGCTATGGAGGTCGTCGGTTACGGGATGTCGAAGCGATGTGCTGACAAAGTATTTAAAGACGCTGGCTTTGCCGACGGCGAAGGGCGTGACTTGGTTGGCGTGGTCGAGCTACATGACTGTTTTTCCGCGAATGAAGTAAGTCCGCCTTTCCTCACTTAGTCTGGCGCATGACCCTCCCTTAGCTCATCACATACCCTGCCCTTGGACTTTGCGCTCTTGATGAGGCCCATAAGATGGTTGAAAGGGGTGATAATACGGTCAGAGTTTCCTCTTTCAACCCGGCAGCAACTGAACCTTCTGTAGTACGGCGGCAAGTATGTTGTAAACCCGAGCGGTGGTCTTGAAGCCAAAGGACATCCACTCGGGGCCACTGGTCTGGGTATGCATTTCTATATTACAAGTGAGTAACATTTGATTATGTTAGCAATGTTATTCTCATCACTTTGGTAGTGCAATTGCGTAATTGTTAGTGTGGCAATCACTTTTTCGTGGTCTTCCTAATGCAGTTAATGTTTTAGTGGCAGGACCTATGCAAGTACCTGGCTTATTCGACATTCCGGACAAGCGGGGCAAATTTGGTCTTGTTCACAACATTGGTATTGGAGGTGCAGTCGTCGTCAGTCTACTCCGCAGGCCCGAGTTTTATAAAGCAGGGGGTATCGACGGCCAGGCTAGGTAAACATACTCTCATTTGAATATAGTCCACTAACCTACATGGTATATCAGGCTAGGATACAATCACGCTCATGAATGCCGGCCTGTTACGCTTGCAGATGTTGACAAAGTTAAGTCAAAGAAATCATCGAAGTTTGTCCTTCAGCATGCGAAACTTTGAAGAAAGTGAAGCTTATGATGTGCTTGTATATTTGTAACTTCTTTTGCTGTCAATATGCAATCGAGTACAATCCATTAGTGGGTTCTCGATGAAGTAGAGGATGAGTGTTTTGGTAGATGTCTCGGCGGTCTGGACAGTGACTAAGTTATTGGCGATTTGGCTACAGTTGGGGACAAGCAAAGTCATCACGTTTGGACATCGATTTTTGCTGGCTTGTCACACAAACTAAAAAAGGCTAAAAACGATATAAACGCACTCTTTAGACTCTATACTTCATATTGGCACGAGCCGATTCCCTGTAAAAGTAATTATGACCCTCCGAGCCCTAAAATTTTGGCCGGACCCCTCAAAAAATAGCTAAAAATCCGAAAAAATGCGGAATCGATTCCGTCTGCTGACTTGAGTATGATTCCATGAAAAATGAAAAGATAATGTACCTTAGTTAGGGCGCTAAAAAGTGCCTTTTTGTCCACTTGAACAACGGTCCTCACCAATCATTATGCCTCGCGGACGCCCCAGAAAGAAACCTAGAAACATCAGCGGCCTTCGAGGACAGCACTGCACCATCACTCTTGTCTCCGAAGTGTTATCAACGACCTCCGAAGATGAACATCATAAGCCCTGTGCCCAAAGTGTAGACCACCAAAGCAACTTCGAGTTAGATGGAGCCGACAATGGCTGCATGGCAAGGCTGCTGAGTCAGCAGGAAGATTTCCGTGATCAAACATTGATGGTTGAACAACTTATCAAGGATGCAGGACATGAATGTCTCTTCTTGCCAAAGTTCCATTGTGAACTTAACCCCATTGAAATGGTATGATTTTGTAAATTTAAAATTTAAGTTTTCTTCACTCACTGCTTGTTAGTATTGGGGGTGGTGCAAGTACTGCTACCGACAGATGGAAAAGTCAACATTTTCTGCTGCAAAGAAGGCTGCACATGATGTGCTTGATTCATGCCCTGTTGATGTCATTTGTCGATTCATCAATCGTTCTTATTGGTTTATGAGTGTTTACAGGCTAGGGCTTACTGGAAAAGCTGCTGAATGGGCTGTATGCAAGCATAAACAACATTGACAAGTATCTCAACGAGCGATGATGGTGATAGAGGCAGTGCTAAACGTATGACTTAATACATAGATGTCATGTCCCCCCTAAGGAGGGTGTGTAATTTTTATTCAAATGGTCAAAAAAATTGGCTGGCCAAAAATATCGTGGGAAAGACTTTGGAGCAGTGTTTTTAGACGTATTTTTACTGCCTGAGTTCAGAGCTGGTGCTAGTTTGGCACCAAAAAATCATGCGGAGCCAGTACTAAATAGGATGACTTTGCTTGTCCCCAACTGTACTCCTTACTAAGGGATCTGTACTTACATAAGAGTCGAGACGTACCTGTCGAAATCACTACTTGTGGGCCTGCCTTCTTTCTGTCCGAAGTTCCTGTTGCACGACATATTACTCAAGACTCTCTTCAGTTCAAATGCAGGCAGCATCGGCCAGCGCCCTCAGTGCCCTTGCCGACCCTCCTGCTCGAATGGTCGATGGTGCAGCCATGGATTACTTATTGATCGAAGCTGTGAATGCACTTCGTGTCTCATCAGCAGTCGCTTCTGCTCGAGCCAAAAAAATCGAGCATGACATGGTCGAAGCTGGGTTGGTTCCACCACCACCACCACCACCACCCGCCAAACAACAGAATCCGAGAGATAGTGCTAGTAGCACGTCGGGTAAGATACCAGGGCCTGCGGATGAGGATGAGGGGGTGAGGTCTAGGCTGGAAGCTATCGGTATGCACGTCGGGGGTAACTTTGCGGAGAGGTACGGTGTCTCAAAGGCAATGCTTCGCATCCTAATTGCCTCCAAGGCTTTGCCGTGATCGCCCATTATTCAGCGACTCTCTGGACGTTATCAAGTTTGTTTGCAAGGATCTTTGGGTCTCTTGCTGGGACAAACAAGTCGACAACTTACGTACAAATCACAGAGTAAGCAATTGATTCGTGACTTCAGGGATTTGGCATTGAAACATTCGTAGGGGGTCTATGTTCTTCAAGATAATGCCTTCAAGCCAATTTCTCGAATTTCCTCATGGGAAGGTCGACAAGAAGCCCTCAAGCGAGCCAAGCTGGTATGTCAACAGTTTGAACTGATCACGCTTCTATATGCTTTGTCGTGTTTCAAAGTATGTCGCACTTCCTGCTGGGATTATTCGAGGTGCATTGTCTCGAATCGGGTTTCAAGGGACGGTGGTTCCTGAAATCACCACTCTACCTCAGTGTACGCAATCTTTCGAATATCATGGTATGTAGTGCCGAGCTGACTATCATCGATCAGGCACCTTCCAGATTAAGCTACCAAAAAACACATGAAGCTACAGCACTATCAGCCTTTACACGTTGATCTATGCCAGCCCAAGTTGTGAAGTGGCTGCTGAACTCGAACCCCGTTGCTGAAAGCTCGGTTGAAGGTGTCGGGGTCATCAAGTAGTGGGATGGACAACAAGTAGGTAATGTGGTTCAAAGGAAGGGTCGGGCCTTGCGTCCTCTGTTATCGATTTTTCGGCCACAGACTTCTCTTCACACTGATCTCTTTCTACCGGATTAATTTGTTCACGAACGAGAACATCTGAAGTCGATGATTCTCCTTGCAACTGCGAGTGCATCAGAATCAGCAAGATTCTCGTTACAATCGCAAATGTATCGGGACGGTGCATAAAGTGATGGCGTGGCTATTTTCACCTTCAGAATACGCCTCTCCGGCAGGTTTCTTGTTTGTGGCTTCAAGCATGAACTCATCTCGATGCAAGATGGCGTAGGTGACACCGCGCACGACAGCCTATTTGGGGCTCATTCCACATTGATGCGATTTGTGAAGCTTGTGAAGATTCATTGAGCTTGTTGAGGCAGAAAGAAAGGGCGCAGGGAAATGGCCACATTTGGCCCACGGGGAAGTAGATGTGGATGACTTGGAAAGTACCTTACGCCGACTTAGATTATCGGATATGGGAACACATTCTATATTTGGCCATCTAAGTACGCCGGAACCTACATTTCCTCATGTCGGGTTTCAGCATCTTTTATCTTACACTGGCAAAGAAAGATGGCCTCTATAGAGATTGCAGAAGAAATACGCTCGATTTTTCCTGGTACAGAAGAACTCATCGTGCAGTATCTTTCCGGTTATCTAGTCGATGACGCTGGAGAAGAGGAAGATGTTCTTCAGGTGGCCAATGACATCCTGGATTCATTGGGCATGAATCATCCAGACGACGTCAAGAGGTTGATGGCACGCCTCCGGGATCTCCTCGCCGAGCAGCTTAGTGCACGAGCGAGAAATAGTGGTCGACCAAAGCTGACGAAGCTTGACAAGGTTATGGACATGAGCAAGGTCGGTGCTATGTCGAATACCATTGGGCTTGGAGAAGGCGTAGACCTTGAGAGCATCAACAAGGGAAAGTAAGCCTGTATCTTTGTGTCGTTACGGCTGCCTCGATCTTAGTGATGCTCCTACGCAGAGCATCCAGGGTAGATGTGAAAAAGCTTGAGAAACAGGAAGCCAAACTCAAGGTAAGCATAAACGGCTTTCTGCGTCAGATGGACATGATGTAATAGCTGCGTTTAGGCTAAGATCGAGAAACGTGCTCGTCGCGACCTCTACGAAGGGTCCAAACTACTGGATCAGCACCGCAAGCAAGTCAGTAGAAACATTTATCTCTCTAAATAAATTTGATCATGGGTTTGGCAGCAAAATTATGAAGAGATGTTCATGAAGGTTAATTCACTTATGCTTGCTTCTTTCAATTTGATCATTCAACAACTTCTTTCAGATCAACCCCTTGGAAGCGGCAAATGCTGCCAAAAACAAGAGCAAAGATATCCATCTGCCCTCCATTGACGTCAATTTTGGTTCCAATCGTATACTGTGCGTTCCACTTTTCATTCCCGTGATATTTGTTGTGAGGTGTTCCCTTAGATCAGGAGCAAGCCTTACATTGGCGTATGGTCGTCGGTATGGGCTCATAGGACGCAATGGTACGTTTTACAATGTATCACCTGTCAGCACGACTGTACGACTTTATCAGGTGTCGGAAAGTCCACCCTTTTGAAGCATATCGCTATGCGGGAAGTACCTATTCCTGCGCATATTACCATATTGTTCGTAGAACAGGAGGTAAGTCACTGTTTTACATATGTGCTTGTGCATGAGCTCGGTACAGATTGTCGGGGACGATACAACCGCTCTCGATTCCGTTCTTAAAGCTGACGTCTGGAGAGATCACCTGTTGAAGGAAGAAGCTTCTTTGAATGCCCGTCTGGCTACGCTGGAAAAGGAAGGTGACGATAAACGGTTCGAGGATGCTAGGGAGGAGGCATCGTCAAGATTAGCGGATGTGCACGCTCGTTTAAGTGATATGGATGCCGAGAGTGGTCCTTCGAGGGCAGCCACTCTTCTCGCCGGTATGTCGATGTCTTTATGTCAAGGAATACGTTGTGATACGAAGTTTTCAGGACTGGGTTTCAGCGAGGCAGACCAATCTAAGGCTACAAGGACATTCAGTGGAGGTTGGAGGTAAGTCAAATCAATGGGACATGGCAATGTCTGATATCTCGGATTCAGAATGCGACTCGCGCTAGCACGTGCGCTCTTTGTGAAGGTGCGCTGCTCAAGTCCTGATTGTTTAACACTGAGGTCTGACACACGTACGATTGGATGTAGCCTGCTCTTCTTTTGCTTGATGAACCTTCAAATCATATCGATCTAAATGCACTGGCTTGGTTGGAAGATTACCTTCAAACATGGCCCGGAACACTGCTTGTTGTGTTAGTTGAGCGGGTGTATGAGTTGATATTATTTTGCTCACGTTTTCGACAGATCTCACGATCGTGCATTCTTGTGAGTGTGCAGAAATCTTCGTTTTACGTCTGAAATACGATTGTATGCAGAGATGCCGTTGCGACTGATATCGTGCACCAGCACTCTGGTAGACTAGACTATTATAAAGGGTTCGTCTAGTTCATGCCCAGACAGGTGTAGTTCCTAACAGTGGTCAATGCGCAGGAATTTCACTCAGTTCTACTCAACTAAGTCTGAACGGGACCGCAATATGCGAAAAGAATACGAAACACAAATGGATTACCGGAAACACCTACAGGCTTTTATCGACAAGTGGAGGTATAATGCAGCCAGAGGTAGGAATGTGAAATAGAGGTTACTATAATTTCTTAACACTTTTTTTGCATAGCTTCGCAGGCACAAATGAGAATCAAAATGCTGGAAAAGGTGGGTGTGTTACACAACTTCGTTGCTACCCTTGAACAGCCGTTTTGTAGCTCCCTGAGTTAGAACCTCCAGAGGAAGAAGAGGGTGAAACTTTCAAGTGCGGCAAATCATTCTCGTTCCGAGTGCAGCGGATTGACATTCTGGCAACTAGATTCCCCGAGGCAGAGAAGATATCGCCACCATTGCTCCAATTGTCCGAGGTCACCTTCGGGTATACGCCTGAAAACCTTCTCCTCCGAGGAATCAACATCGATGTAGGGTTGGATTCGCGAATCGCTATTGTTGGCGCGAATGGAGCTGGAAAATCAACCCTGTAAGTGGTACTACGTGCGTCGAAGAACAGTGATACAACTAAAAATTGATCGGGATACGTAGTATTAAACTCCTGACCGCAGAGCTAAGACCCTTGAGTGGCGACTTGAATCGGAATGGTCGTCTGCGAATGTGAGTCGTCACTGCGTTTGATTCATCACCTGCTCACGTGCTTCGTAGAGGATATTTTTCGCAACATCATGTTGACACACTCGATCCTGCTATGTCTCCTGTACAGTTCCTGGCCTCTAAATTCCCAGGAAAGACAGAACAAGAATATCGAGGCCACCTAGGCAACTTCCAAATCAGTGGAATGACGGGGTGCGCAAACTTCTTGTGGTCCACTTGTAGTTTGTTTCAAGGATAACAGGCTCCAACTTATTGGCACGCTTTCTGGAGGTCAGAAGTCTCGTGTTGCGTTTGCTGCCTTATCATTGCAAAATCCTCACATATTATTATTGGACGAGGCGAGTACAGAAGGTTACGGTTTATGATTGCTGCTGATACCTACCAGCCTACTAACCACCTGGATATCGAGGTACAGTACACACCAAATTTTCTCTACTTCTACTGATCGTTCAATGAAGGGCCTGGATGCACTGATGGCGGCGTTGAGCACTTGGAATGGCGGAGTGATCGTTATTTCTCACGACGAGCGATTCATCACCACAGTTGCGAAGGAGGTAAGTACATGCAAATCGGTGTATCTTGGCTGCTGTCTAAGTCTGTCTAGTTATGGGTGTGCGCTGATTATGCAGTGACCAAGTTCAAGGGCGATGTACAAGCATATAAGGTTTGTACAGTATCGTGTAGGCCGAGATCACGCATTGATATTCCGGTCACAGAGCATCATTGTGAGCAACATCAAAGCACGGCCATGATGGCAGTTTGTGTATGTAGTACGGGGATCCCGACCAGTGATCACTGCATGTCGCTCAAACCATTCCAAATGTCCGAGAAATGAGATGAACGGGAGTCAATACCAGTTCGGAGTTGTTGCTATTTTATTCGGCTTTTATACGTACGGATCAGACAAGTGTTCTCAAGTTACAAAATTTGCGGGTTATTTTATCTTCAAATTTATCTTTTCCCAACCGAGAATCTTTTGCTTTTTTCAAAAAATCAGTTTGTGGTTGCGTGGTGGTCACGTGCTGACGCGTTTGGAACCATGACGCGACCGCGTTTGTTCTGTTAGCTTCATCCAACATCAACGATTGCGTCCGGGCGACTCATTTTCCACGATGAGCTCTTCAGAAGGGGAGAGTTTCGACCTTGAAAACATCTCAGGTACAGAGAGCGAGGACTATGCTCCTCCCATCAAGAAGACGGTGAGCCGCACTTGATGAATTGTCAAGGGCGCAACTTAGTGCCACCTTGTAGACGAAAGCACCAGCAAAGAAGACCGTCGCAACGAAACCCACATCGAAACCTTCAAAACTTCCTGCAAAATCCAAGGCTGTATCCAAGAAGAAGGTGCTGGTGGATAAGGACGACAATGCGGACCGCAGCGCAGTGGACGTCGATGAAGTCGTTGATTCAGGAGATGAGAGTGCAGGGTCATCCAGATTGAAGGCACCAGCCCCGCCAAAGAAGAACAAGACAGCGTCAGAAACTTACACCAAAGTACGCATGCTGGAACATTAGCGATCCATTGCTAACTATAGAAACTTGGCAGTTATCTCAACTAGAGCATATTCTGAAACGCCCTGATTCCTACATTGGAAGCGTCGAGACAATTACAGTGCAAATGTGGACGTATGATTCGGAGAACAAGCGC